CTTGCTTTCCTATAAGTACTTGAAAAATTTTGGGAATACTGTATCTGATTTATCTGTAGTGGTTTTAAATGTATATCTTTGTATAGATTTTTAGTGGTTGCTCTAGGCATTACATTGTGTATGTAATATAGTCACAGTCTACTGGTAGTGTTATTTTACCAGTTTGAGTGAAGTGTAGAACGCTTATCTCTTTTTTTTTGAGCCAGAATCTCACTCTGTCACCCGGGCTAGAGTGCTGTGGTGTCAGCCTAGCTCACAGCAACCTCAAACTCCTGGGTTCAAGTGACCCTCCTGCCTCAGCCTCTTGAGTAGCTGGGACTACAGGCATGCGCCACCATGCCCGGCTATGTTTTTCTATTTTTATTAGAGACAGGGTCTCACTCTTGCTCAGGTTGGTCTGTAACTCCTGACCTCAAGCAATCCTCCTGCCTCAGCCTCCCACAGTGCTAGGATTACAGGCATGAGCCACTGTGCCCGGCCTCTTTCTTCCTTTTTGATGTTCCAAGATTTCTTTTATCATTTCTGTTTTGTTTATAGAACTTCCTTTAGCCATCTTTTTAGAGTAGGTCTGATGGAGACATATTCTCTTAATTTTCCTTCATCTGAAAATGTCTTGATTTCCCTTTCATTCCTGAAGGATATTTTTGTGGGATATAGGATTTAGTTCTTTTCTTTCACCACCTGAAAAATGTGCTAATTCCTTCTGGCCTACATGGTTTCTGATGAGAAATCTGCTGTCATTCAAATCACTGTTTCCCTGTTAAATCATTGCTTTTCTCTGTCTGCTTTCAAGATTTTTCTGTCTTTAGTTTTCAGAAGTTTGACTATGATGTGTTTTAGTGTAGATTTCTTTGGGTTTATCATGGTTGGGGTTCTCTCAGCTGTTGAATCTGTAGGTTTATGTTTTTTGCCAAATTTGGAAAATTTTCAGCCGTTATTCCTTCCAATATTTTTCAGCCCCACTCTCTTTCTCCTCTCATCCTAGGACTCTAATGACACAAATGTTATATCTTCTGTAATAGTTCCACAGACTCTGTTTATTTTTTCCAGTCTATTTGCTGTGTAATTGTTATATATTCAAGCTCACTGATTATTTCCTTTGTCACTTCCATTCTGTTGTTCAGCTCATCAACTGAGATTTTCATTTTGGTTATTGTGTTTTTCAGTTCTAAAATTTCCATTTGGTTCTTTGTGTCTTCTTATTTGCTTGATGAGACTTTCTAATTCTTTGCTGAGACTTTCTGTTCTTTTTATTTGTTTCAAGCATGCTTGTAATTTCTCACTGAAGCATTTTTATGGTATCTATTTCAAAGTCTTTGTCAGATAATTCTAACATCTCAGTCACGTTAGTGTTGACATATATTGATTGTCTTTGTCATTCAGTGTGAGATCTTTCTGGTTCTTGGTATGATGAATGATTTTCAAATGGATACAGTTTCTTTTGGATATTATGTTATGAGACTGCATATTATTTAAACCTTTTGTTTTAGCTGATTTTTTATGACATTGCTCTAGTAGGGAAAAGGGGAGGTGTTGTGTTGTTACTGCCAGATTGGGATGAAAGTTCAGGCTCCCCACTCAGCCTTTGCTGACATAGTTAGGGGTAAGGGAGGTCACAGTTTTTCCTGTGGTGTCTGGCTATAGTAGAGTAGCAATTGTCTAAAAGTTTTCTGTCTTTCTAGGCTGCCCCTTTCCTGGTCCTTTGGCTAGAGAGAGTAGGCTTTTGTTGGAGCTTTTAAAAATAAATCTGCTTCTGTTGATGTTTTCTGAATTTCTGGCTTCTCCAGCAAACAGTCTGGGGTATTTGAGGCAAAAAGGAAAACCCAGGGAACTCACTCCTATGTCATTCTTTAGGTCTTGAGATCCTTAGCTAGTATTTCTTCTTCTTTCCACCTTTCTTGGTCTTCTTATATTTGTCTTGTATGTAATATCCAGGGTTTTTAAATGTGGGAAAAGCACATTCACTCCACCCTCCTGAAAGTAGAAGTTCCCAATTGACTTTAGGATCCCACATCTCTGATTAGTTATTAAATATCATCATTTATCTCTGAAGGTATGGTGTTTAAAACTCACATTTTAATATGCTGTCTTTGTTGAGTGGGTGGATCATATTCATGTAGCTTTGAGATGTTGAGGCAGAACCATAGATAAAAGTGTCCCCAGAAAAATCAACAAGAAAAAATCAAACAACCCTATCAAAAAGTGGGCAAAGGACATGAACAGAATTTTTTCAAAAGAAGAGAGAATAATGGCCCAGAAACATATGAAAAAATGCTCAACATCTCTAATCATCAGGGGAATGCAAATTAAAACCACAATGAGATATCACTTATCTCTAGTGAGACTGGCCTTTATCAAAAAGTCCCAAAACAATAAATGTTGGCGTGGATGCGGAGAGATAGGAGCACTCATGCACTGTTGGTGGGATTGCAAACTAGTGCAACCTCTGTGGAAAGCAATATGGAGATACCTTAAAGAGATACAAGTAGAAGTACCATTCGATGACAACACATGCTTATTGTATGAATGAATGCTGCTGGATAAATGCTAATGCTTCTGAATGACAAGTGCTAAACCGAATTGTGTGATGCAGACTAGAAGTGCTATATGAAGCCAGGAGAGAGGTAGCATTGTGGGCTGAGGTACTGAAGAAGGGTTTTCTTAAGGAGGAGGTTGATTTGTCTTGTTGGTAGAGTAGGATCTGGAGGTTCTTTTTGAAGGATAAATGAACAGGGCTTATTAACAGACTGTGTTTGGGGGACGAAAGAGAGTAAAAAGCCAAAGAGAGTTTGGTTCAGATCCTGGGTGATGGGGAGACGAGGGGAATATTGAATTTGATCTTGTACCTGATTAACTCGAGCTGTTAGTAAAACCTCCAAGCACAAGTGCACAGTAAGCATTTGGAATATCTGAAGCTGAGGGAAAGATTATACCAGAAAAACCCCTCATTTCAACTGGAGTCTCCAGAAGATATAGGACCTAGTCCCAACTTTGTAGCCAATAATCAATGTGATCTAAGGCAATTCATAACTCTTCCCTGGGCTTTGGTTTTCTTATCTATGAAATGGGATGCATTGGTAGATGATTTTTTATGAGATAACATTTGGATCAGCATAGTATCTGGTATTTGGAAGGAGCCCTTTACTTGTTGGAATATTTTCCTTCCAGCTCTAAAGGTCTAGGATTGTGTGATTTCTTTGAAATGTGAACAGTCCTTAATGTATCTGCCTTCTATGACTGGGTTTTTACTTAGTAGTTTTTTTTGTCCCCAGCAGAGCCCACCAGTTTATATTATGTAAAGCTAAGAAGGGAGGACTGTACGTGTTGTGTCTCAATCTTTTCAGACTTCCTAAGTTTTTTTCTCTTTTGAGCATTGGCAGTTTTCATGCTTGAATCAGAAAAGCCTCCATTTTGGCTGACTCCAGCCCTCCACTCTGGGGAATATAATGGGCAGGTAGCCATTAGTACACAGGAAGGGAGGGCTTTGTGGTATCTTAAAGCCATTTGATTTTATTTATTTCCAGTTTGCTCTACATTTGTTCCACAGATCTGGACAGTTTAAAAAGGGGTGGGGATGAAAATTAACTAGGACTAGAGAAAAGGATGAACACATTTGCCTTTCAATATTAAAGTGGGACTCAGAGCACTAACTTGAAAAGATTTCTGGGCTTCATTTTATCTTTCTAAAAACTGAGCAATGCTGTAACTGTCCACATAGCATCTGAAGAGTTGACTTTGGTTGGAGAAACAGTTCTACATCTTGTTACTAGTATTTTATAATGTCAGCCCTCTGTCTATCATAAATAGTATTTAAGTATTTGTTTCTTTCAAATTAAAAAAATATGTAACCTAAACATTTGCACCCCCATAATATGCTGAAATAAAAAAAAAGGATGTGAAAACTCTCAAAAAAAATCTTTTCGATTTTAAAGATAAACTCATTACAAAAATAAGAAAATGAAAATCACTCATAATCCCCAAACATAGAGATAATCATTGTTAATATTTCTATTTATTTCCTTCTAGTCTTCTTTTTTCTACACATACACACACAATCATACTCTATGTTCTTTTGTATATCCTCCCTTCCCTCCCTTAATTTAGGTTACGAGCATTTCTCTGTCATTAAATACTTTTCTAAACATGATTTTAAATAATTACATAATTACATAGCATTTCATAGTATAAATGTTACCATATAGGATTTCATAATATGGACAATTTAAGTTGTTTCCACTTTTTCTCTATTTTAAATGACGCTATAATGAATTTCCTAGTATTTATATTTTTGTGCATCTTTATTTTTTTTTTGAAGAATAAATCTTTAGAAAAAGAATTACTGGGTAAAGGATAAGAACATTGTTAAGGGTTTGGCATATTTTGCCAAGTTGCCCTGTGGGAGAGTTGTACCAATTTGCATTCCCATTAATGTTTGAGAATGCCTGACTCACTGCATTAACACAGGATACTTTACTGTCATGTATACATGACACGATTTTGGATTATTTCAATTCAAATGGCATTTACTGAGCACCTACCTACTATGTGTAGGGTACTGTACTAGGCATTAGACTTACTCCTGTTATGCAGTGTAAGAGCTAGACACACAACACATATACAAAGATGTTAAAAAATGCAAGTGAAATATAACAACACATAAATCTCTATGGTCAGGGCTAACATCATTCAGTCTTTAAATGGCTACTCATTGAAGACACTGTGCTAGCTAATTAAAAAATAATTTAGAACTTGTAAGACTTAAAGCAGAATGCATTAATATGAATCTTGAAAACAACAGAGATTCAGTTGTGATCATTTATATTCTATTTCCTGACATAAATTGGAGCAGGAATGGAAAGGAATATTACAAATCCACATCCTTTTCAAAAGCAAAAGATACCCATTTGCATGAAAGGATAATTTCTGCTTTTGTCAGTTCCCTTTACAAAGTTAACCTGTTGATTATCAGAGAAAGGGGACACAACACACAGAAAGCTAACCTCCTTCTGGCAGCTGGGGATAATTTGTCAGTCTCCTTTGAAATGTGGCTTTGTGCTCGCTGGAGAAGGCAGCTGGAACAGAAAAAGCATGACAGACAAAAGCTGAAATCCACATGAAGAAAGGTCTTTTTCCCCCCAAATTACTGCCTGAGTTAGCAACAGTCAGAACAGAAAGTACACGTATATCTTCCCAACAACAAGCATGTCTGGTACTAGAGAAGGCCCCTTATGCCACAGGAGGCATTTAGAATAGCTGTAGCCCTGTATAGGGCTGCTGGATAGCATTTAAACAAGCCTTCCCATCCTATGAAAAAATTAGACCCTCAAATTAAATCTAACACTGAGACTGAAAAAATGAAAGTGTCATGTTTTTAAATCAGTTAAAGCATTTACTATTCTGAAAAAGAAGACCTACTTAATATATAGTGGATGATGGTACGAGAAACAGAAGTTTAAGTATATGATTTCCAGTTAAAAAGTAACCAATGGAATAACTAAAAATAATACTATCAGACTGGAAACAACCCAAATGGCCATCAACTGGGGAATGGATAAACCGTGGCACATCCATGCAATGGAATACTACTCAGCAATACAAAAGAATGAACTAGTGATACTTAAATCTCAAAATAGTTATCCTGAGTGAAAGAAGGCAGTCTAAAAAGGTTACATGCTGTACGATTCCATTCCTATAACATTTCAGAAAAGGCAAAATTGTGGGAACATAAAACAGATCAGTGGTGGTCAGGATCTGGGGGTAAAGGGAGGAGTTGATTACAAAGGGCCGTATGATGGAATTTTGGGAGGTTATGGAACTTTTCTACATTGTGACTGTGGTGGTTATATAACTTTATGTATTTGCCTAAACTCAGAACTGTACAGCAAAAAAGTAAATTTTACTGTATGCTATTTTAAAAAGTGAATTAGAAAATCTCATGAAAATAATACTATTGAACATGAGGAGGTGGAAGAAAGAGACGCAGTTGGGAATAATGTGAAGAGAGCTAAATCCTCCATTTTTATAACAGAGTTAAGCGATAAGGTCCAAAATGGATAAATTAAGAATAGGGAGAATGTGATGACGTCCCACTCTTGCCTGGAGGATCTCAGCCATGCGAATCGCTTTGACACAGACACTACCTCTACTTCCAACCCAATAATGGGGTTTCCAACAGAACGATCCACACTTATATTAATATAGTTTCTAAGGAAACAGGACGTCAAGTCCCTTCTCAGCCAGGGCCTGACATTAATCCCTTTCTTACAGCCGGGCTTTGCTTTGAGCGATAAAAATAATGTGCTTCGTTTAAATTTTGCCTGCATTCCCCTCGTCCCAATCTTCTAACAACCCTGTCTCTGCCTTGGGGGAGAGGCCCCGCGGTTTCTCTTTGGCCTGGAAAGAACACCGTTTAAGGAGCGCGTGGGTGGGAGGCCTCACCTCCTCTCTGCCACCTCCCACGGCAGGACCCAGCTTCAAGAATCAAGAACCTTAGGAATGGCTTTCTCAGGGCATCCTTCCCTGACCGCGGAGTGCCGGACAGTTGGCGACGGACGGTGCCAACGGCAAGAAGCAGGTGGTGTGGGGGTGCATGTTAAAGTCGGGGTGCGGTAGGCGGTGCAGAGGGTGCGGAAGGGAGCCGGGCCGGTGGCCGCGGGGACAGTAAAAAAAAAAAAAAAAAAAAGAATAGGAGCAGAGGTATGTTATTTAGAGATACAGATGTAACCACCAGTTGAATTGAAAACAGAATCTATTAAAAATGGTTGCCTCTAAGGAGTGGGACTGGGGGTAGGGAGGGCTGGGGCAGAGAATTGTTTTTTATTACAAGGTCTTCTGTATTATTTGATATTTTAAAATCATGCTCATGTATTACTTTCATTTAAAAATAAATGTAGTAGAAAATGCACTGGACTGGGAATCAAGAAACCTGATCTCTAACCCTGATTTTGTGCTAATTGAGCAAATCCCTTCTCTTCTCTGGGCCTTGGTTTCTACATCCGTATGATAAAGGAGTTGGACTACATGATCTTTTCATACCTAAAGAAAATTATAAAGTTAGATTATTTGCGTATCCACAACAATTCTTTGTTGAATGCAAAGCTAGGAAACAGGCATTTTTATTTTTAAAGCTGGAAGGGACTAAGTCATCAAATTCACCAGTCTCTTTTTAACCACTGAAGAAACCAAGACATAGACTGGTTAAAAGACTTGCTTACAATGACAATTAATCAACAACAGAGCTAGGACTCAAGCTCAAGGCTTCTTGTGGCTCTTGCCTTTGCACCACACAGCTTCTCCCAGGCCTAATGGAATCAGTCCCGGGCACCAGGGCTGACAAAAATTCCCTGGGATGACACCAGGGGTGTAATTCACATGCCGACATGGTTTCATTGGCCTGGGAGATGAGTCAGAATTTTGGAAGTGGTCCCTGACATAAGCATGTATGACACAATACCATAGGCATCCTGAAGTTGGTCAAGGCTATGTAAATTCCAATTTGGGGGCTCCATTCCCTAATAACTGTCCAATAGGCTGCTGTTGACAGCTGCTGCTAGCCTACTGACTTCCCCTTTTGTGTGATAGGAATCCTACCACTCTGAAATGCCACGATTCTCATTCTGATGTATTAATAAAATAATCGGTTTATCCATTTTTTTCTCATTAGTCTTTCTCTCTAGAACCACTAAGCTTGTGCTATGTTTTACTGAAATCTATCAAGTATAACAGAAGATATGTCCACTTGAAAACTTTTATCAGCTACTGTCAAATTATAATAACAAGGTACCTTGGTATGATTTAGCAATCCTCCTAGAAAAAGAGTTGAAATAGACCCCTGACTTTGACCAAATCACCTTTTAGGGAAGACTTTCCATGTTGACCAGCAAGCAGGCTAAAAGTATGTGCGTTTTGCTAACCATTCCCTCCCCCCTTTGCTGGGGCCTGCAGGCTCAATTGCCCCTCATCGCAAAGGTTTGAGGTTTACAGAATAAGGACATCATTATGTGGGGCTATCATTCTTCCTTAGTGGAAACAACACTGCCCTTTGTAAGCTTCCAGCTAACTTCAAAGGGTGTGGCTATCTTTCTGTGCTCCAAGGGAAGCTTCCTTGGGAAATATTGCTCACAGTGCCTTTCCAGTTCCAGAATCTTCTTCAGCTGACAGTGAGTTAGAGCAGGAATTTTCAAGCAGCCCCCCCCCCCCATTGGTACGCTGTCTACCTTAGAAGCCAGCTTGTATTTTTTAAAACCTCCTCGGAAAACATTTGTTTGCCAACTTTTGTGCTCCACTTTCATCACCGCTCCCACTCAAGGCTGGCTCTCTGCCCAGTTCTGAATCCTGCCTTACCTACTGCCTGGCATTCACTTCGCAACAGCTGGCCCAGGGATCTCAAGTACTTAGCCTCAGCTGCCAGCTTAGGGAAGGAGAGGCCCCTGTAGTTGAGCCTGTGACAAAGACAGCATTTGTTCCCACACCGGTATTCTCAATGTCAACAGCAGTGGCAGGCTCCAAAGGGGATCATGCCCAGTCACTGCCCACTTGATGAGAACTCCACAAGCCCAGGGATGTTCATATATCCAGCTTTGACTCTCCCCACAATGCTGTGAGGTGACTAGAAAGCAGTCACACGATTCCAGTTTTACAGTGGAGAAAGGCAAATGCCCAGCGACTACGGGATTCATTCAAGGCAATGCTGATCACTTTGTTCAAAACAAGAATCAGGATACCTGGGTCTGAGAAATGTTGGTTTCTGTGATTTGCCTATTTGTTTATGTGAAAAGTGCTATAAGCTGGCTTGCTCATCATGGAGTGACCATAGTGGTGCCACCCAAAGTGATGGATGATAGAGAGGAGGTTGCTGTGAGGGTAGAGGTGGCTCAGTGCACTGCAGGGGCATGGCAAAGAGACACTGTGCCCAAGACCATCTCTCCCAGGGAGCTGGGTGGCATTCCTGTCTTCCTTCCATCAATAAACGTTGACTGTGCCAGGCACTGAAATGATGGAGATGACTCAGATTTGCCCTTGTCCTTAGGGTGTTCATAGTTGGATGAGGGCATCACCAGTCTCAGTGGTGACTGAGGGCTACAATAAAGAGTTCTCCCTCAGACTTGAGGAAGTTCATGCTTCTCCCTGGGCTGGCCAACAGAAAATGACATTTGTGTGGTTTTTCTAACTGTAGTGATGGGTGTGCACTGAATGACTCACTTGGATTCTCTTCCTTGACAGTAGGATTCATTTGTCACTAATAAGGCCTCATCTCAGTTGATTTTGAGTTAATAAAAAAAGGGAGATTATTGCTTTCAGCCAGAACCACTAACTTCCAGTAATTCACCAAAATGAGGAACACAAAGGGAAAGAGGAGAGGCACCTGATCCATGTCCTATTTGCCTTTTAGAGCAGCAGTCCCCAATCTTTTTGGCATCAGGGACCGGTTTCATGGAAGATAATTTTTCCACGGACTGGGGGTGAGGGTTGGTTTTGGGATGATTCAAGCGCATTGCATTTATTGTGCAGTCAAACCTCTCTGCTAATGATAATCTGTATTTACAGCCACTGCCCAGCGCTAGCATCACTGCGTCGGCTCCACCTCAGATCATCAGGCATTAGATTTTCAGAAGGAGTGCGCACCCTAGATTCCTCGCATATGCAGTTTTAAGTAGGGTTCGCACTCCTGTGAGAATCTAATGCGCTACTGATCTGACAGGAGGCGGAGCTTATGTGGTGATGCGAGTGATGGGGAGCAGCTGTAAATACAGATGAAACTTCACTTGCTTGCCCACTGCTCACCTCCTGCTGTGTGGCCCGGTTCCTAACAGGCCATGGACCGGTCTGCAGCCAGGGTACTGGGGAGCAAAGTTTTAAAGAACATGACGTTGTTCTTTTGGCTACATACATGCACATCTACAAGAAAGGTGATGTTGTAGACATCAAGGGAATGGGCACTGTTCAGAAAGGAATGCCCCACAAATATTACTACAGCAAAACTGGAAGAGTCTACAGTGTGACCCAGCATGCTGTTGGCATTGTTGTAAACAAACAAGTTAACAGCCTGATTTTTGCCAAGAGAATGAATGTG